TTTTTTTTTCAAAGCGATGTTATGGCATGAACCATTTACAGTTCATTCAAAAGCCTGAGTATAATTTTGTCCTTTATTTATCCTTAATTGTTATTATTATTAATATTATTGTTATTATTATTGTTTATCCTTTATTTAAGTATCAGCTTTATGTTGATTTTATGATTTTATTTTGTGTAGAAGATATTTTCCTTTACATTACAGTGTAAAATTATTTTTACAGCTTTTAATAATAATAATAATAATAATAATAATAATAATAATAATAATAATAATAATAATAATAATAATAACACAATACAACAATACAGTTTACAATTCCACTAAAATTAAGATAGATTTTCTTTCTATTATGTATAAGCATTAATGGTCAGCTGTTAATGCAACTGTGTGCTGTAGTATTTAAACAATACTTCATATATAATTTATTTTAAGAATAACATGATGATTGACAATAGACAACTTCAGCTTTTGCTGGTTTTTCATGTCATTGACTTATTCTGAGGCATGCATGCATTTGTACCTACACACACACACACACACAGAAGAGTACAGACCAATCTATGGTCATGATGTTAATTAATTCAGAGAACAGCCTTGTCAGAGGATTATCTTACACATCTCATTTAAGCTCGCTCTTTGAAAGTGGGTCAGATTTGGTAGTGTGAAAATGAAGTTGTATTAATGATGTTAATCCATGGAAAATCTCATCTGGTTATGGGGCTCCAAAACGCAAAGGGGTGCAAGACAAAATGAAGACAGACTGAGAGGGAGCTCGATGGACAGAGATACAGCCACGGGGCTCGAATGTCTCCCTGCATGAATTCCCTCATGTCTCCATTTCACACCTTTTTTTCCCTGCCGTCTGTGGCTTTCGTCTGCACACACACACCTTCACCTGTCAGTATGACAGACAGTAATAATAGCTTGCAAAATATATATTTAACCAAAGTGCCAAAGTCACATGGTGCGCAGTGGTGTGAAAATGCCTGGGGACGGAGGATGCTGTTCTAAGATTTGAATGTGATTCATTTTCAGGTGGAGAAGAGGCTAAATAGCATCCATCATGTAAAATGTTTCTCCATTCCAGAAAAATGGCAAAAGGAATACACAAATCATCTGCAAACCACAAGCATTACTCAGATGTTTCAGTTGTTGATGATAGTTTGTTTAAAATAGGGCCACAGCATCTTCCTCCTAATTCTTCTCAGGTTTTTGCTTTTGTGCTCTCGTTTAAACCCTCTTTCACTGTTTAGACAATATTCTGATCTGTTCTCATTTTAGATCCTGCCACGCATGTCACAATCTGTATAAGACGCTTCAAGTCAGATAGATTATTTTAATATACTACAAAATATAGGCGTCATTATCCAATTGTATCTCTCTCTGGTCATTTATGTTTATGGACGTCACACAAAAAGAGCCAGCTTGGATAGGTACACAGAAAAAAAAATGGTAATGGATCACCTTTTACCCACCTACATGGTGCAAGGTGAGAGGAATTGGTATGCACTGTGATGATGAGGAGGGTTGACTAGGGTTAAGAGTTTCATTGTTTTCCCTTTCATTTGCATCTCCTGCAAAATGTGCTCCAGCACAGCGTGAGCATATTAGATATGTAAGTGAGTCATATGTATATGCTTTTTTCTATTTTAGGTTCTGATATTGTACAGTGGATGATGAAGAATCTGGACATTGAAGATCAAGGTAAAAGCCAAACACTGAAATGCTTATTACTGGTGTATGTATGACACCGAAGTTGCCCTTTTGACATCAGGGTCAGCAAATAGATCGGCAGTAGTGGACAGCTTGTGAAAGCAATTTATCACATGTTTTCCACAATTTGTGCCAATATTAAAGTTGACCTATTGTGCTTTATATATAGACACTGTAACATTGTATTATTGGAAAACATTGAGTGTATGTAACCTCAAGTAACCCCAATAATCCAGCGCTCAGTTTCGCAAAGCTGTTTCTGCTCTTTGCTCTGTATGATATCCCTAATGTGAACACACACAGACGTGCTGTTCATATATTTTCTTTGTAAAGCAGAGCCAATCAGAAGAAAGCAAGCTTAAAGGAAGAAAGAAAGGACTGAAAGGACACTGGATTAACTGAGAGGTTTTGCAAATGCACTGAATTAAAAGAACAAGATTAAAATATTGTTACTAATAAAATTGTGGCATATTTTTACTGGAGCCACTTTGCTAAAATCTAAATAAATACAGCCACTAATGCACTTCCATTTTCATTTCCCAAACATCAGTTTTCTCAAATGGCCCAATTAATACTAAAAATACGAAATTTCAGGATGGCATCATTACAACTGTTTATACCGTTCCTCGTGTTTGCTGGTGGCGTAAATGAGAGGACAAGTGCTGGTTAGATGCTGAATAACTTGAATCCAGATGTGTTGTCACTTAGCTCTAAAATAAGGAGTAACACTTCACTTACTTGCCATTTTGAAACCTATGTACCATATCATATTACAGTAGGTAAAAGTCAGTTTGTTTTCTTTTTTAATCTAGTCTTTTTGTGTCCTTCAGCTGGTTTGATTTTAATGCAGTATAAAAATGTAGAACTGGACTGCCTTGAGAGAGCTGCCGAATCATTAGTCGAGCCTCTCATTGCACATAATATGACTCAAAAGTGGGCAGGATGAACTGTGACAAATATGGGAAGTTAAAACCAAGTGTTTCTTTTGAGAGTTTCTTGTGTATCTGATCGTGTCTGTGCAATGTAGGTGTTTCTACTTGGATATTGGATTGGTTATGTGCGTGGGTGTACATTTCAGTCTACTCTAGTGGTTGCCTCAGTATTGTACAATCAGTTCATACAGTAATTGTGACTCATCAACTCACAGTTCCTCTGTGTGTATGTAAGGATCTACCTGTTTTATGAGCTGTGCATGTTGATATCATAAAGGTTGTTATGCATGTATTTAAACTGGTGTGTGGGTGGTGGGGCGACGGTTGATGCAGCATATTTATGATTTCATGTGCATAATGAAAGAGTTTTGAGACAAGTGGACAGTTTGTCCTTGTGTGATTCTTTTTTTTTTCATTTCCATTTTCGTTTCAATTATGCCGAGGAAAATACCAGTCTCTGAGTTTTTATATTTGCTCAAAAAAGATTACGACTGCGTTATTATTTCTGCATTGCATCTAAGGCATCTGTAATATGCTTAAGAATGCTTAATGCGATGCATTGGAACAAATATCCACTCTGTTGGATTGTGACAAAAATCTGGCAATAGTTTTTATGTCATTACATCTACAATACTCAAAATACTTCGTTGTGAGATTCATTTTGATGAAATTTATCCAAAACTGGGTTTTTATTTATTTATTTATTTTTTAACAAGGAAGAGTCTAAAAACATGTGTCGACAGATGTTTTTGTCCTCTAGGACAACTTTTTTTAATCTGCCCATTTTGCTTTTTGCAGCACAGGTGCTGTTATTTGCCCTGTGGTAAACACAGTGTTGTGTATAACTAAATGACTTTAGCACATAGCAACTCCTTGTGGGGCTGACAAACAGCAAAGTGAAATGCAATTAATTTGGCTCACAGCATGATAGCAGCAAGTTTATTATGTAAAAGAGCTTGTATCAAAGTTGACTGAGGCTGTAGAGCTCTTTTGCTAAATGAACGCCACAGATAATATACTGCTGCAGCCCAGAAGAACTCATTATCATCCTATTTGGCCGTGTCTATAGTCTCCAGTCTTATTTTGATTCAATTTGGCATTGGATTAGATAAGAGAAATCCTTGCCTCAAAAGTTCTTGACAAAAGTTTTTGATGTCTCAGCATAAGGTATTGCACAAGAAGCTCCTGACAATAGCACAGTGATTATACTTTGCATCATCATTCGCTGAGTTTTAGAAAACTATTGATTTGTTTAGCATATGAACTGCTGGCAGTAATTGCTTACCACGTTTGTCATATTCTGCAGTTCTGCTCATGAAGGGGACTGGACGTATAAGGGAAAAAATGTGAACGAGGCGCCACTGGCTGACATGATCAGCAACCTTAACATTTTGTAGGTCAATCATTTTCTGAAAGCAGACTAAAGGCAGAAAGATCGTAGAGCAAAGCACCAGCTAAACATGGTTATAGTCCCCGGAGAGGATACAAAGCATCTGCTGATGCCTATGGGTCAAAAGACTTGAGGCAGTGCTTGACTGCAATGGATTTTCCACACTATATTAAATTTATAGCAAAGGGTTTTTAATGCTTTGACCCACTTTGATTACAGGTTCAAAAGTAATCCACTTGCTTGCTGGCTGTACATCTGTGGTAAAAGAGAAAACACAAACAGCCTGCAGCAAATTCAGTATAAGTGAAATTCACTAAAATGTCATTTAAAACATCCAGTATTGCTGCCAAAACACCTCTGAAACAGACCTGGGCAGGCAGGGCCTCCTTGAATCCCACTTGTTCATGATGAGGGTCTGGTCAGGGAGGGTGGAGGTGGTTGCACACTTTGGGCTCTTTGTTGCTGTGGGTATGCAACAATGCTTCCGTGGATTGTGCATATTAAAGTGACAACATGTAAATACCAGGGCCCAATGGTTTTTTTGTACTGGAACGAAATGATCAATGCTACACACGTCACCTGTCAGTGGTTTCAGTATTGTGGCTGATAAGTGCACGGTTTTAAAAATTACGTTTTGTTATATCCTACAGCTCACGGAGATGAACCCCACATTGTTTGTTATGTTCAAAATTGCCAAAAGCATAATGGGAACCATGCTGGGAAAATCTCAAAATAAATTCATCCCAAAGGGGGGAAGAGAATCAAGGGAGAGTATTTATGAAACGACATATTCCCTGTTGGTACTATTGATACACTCTGTGCTATGACTTAACTTTGCTATATTATCCTTTTGATTAGATCATAAGGGTCACAAAAATGTAATCAGCTCCAGTGAGTGTGGTCTGCTGCTCTTCTGACCTCTGACCTGCTTATGAATGAATCATTAATGGCATTAAACAGGCCTTGAGTGTGGTCAAATAAAATAGACTTGTGTTGTAGCTGAAATGAATTATATGACTCTATAAAGCTTTTAAATATACATAAAGTCTATAAACTGTAGATTAATTATCTAATACATTAAAATGAAAATAAAAAACACGTATAAATACAATGACAAACAATTGATCACAATATACACTGTATAAATTAATCTCGTTTAGTAGGTCACTGTGGGGATAATCTAACCATATAAATACACACATCACAGTCACCAGACCACAACAGAGCATCAAGACAAATCAGTCAAGTTGTCAGGGAGTGTGCACCTGCGTGTTATTAAAGGTGTGAATTACATATGAAGGAGCATCTAATCTGCTCAGTGGAACAGGGAACAGTAAAGTGACCTCTGAGGGAGGACATGTGGCTCATCAGAACAGCGGGAAGAGGGTGCCTAAGGTTCTGATTAAAGATCCTGGTCTTCTCTGTCAACCTTCTTCAAACCTCCTTCTCATCAGGCTCAAGAGTCACTCCTGCAGTAGAGCACTAGAGTCAAGTTTTTCAGCCTACTGAAATCACCCATTTGCACACTTCTGTGCTGACATACACATGAATACAGTTTATACCTCCATTGTTTGTGGGACAGTGTTATTTTACTAATCCTTGTATTAGTTCAGTTGTGCATGAATCCATTGAGTGCTCCTCCTCGAATGATTGAAAGTGTGTATTTAATTGACTTAAAATACATATTTACTTTAATTGAAATTGACTTTATGTAAAAGCACTCGGGGCTGAGCCTCCTGACACTATGTATTTAAGCACATTTGAGTAACTTAGATTAAAAATAAATTCTTTATTCAGATCTTAGACTTTTGTAATCTTTGTTTTTCCTATGAAATAATAAATAGTTTTAATTTTAATGAAGCCATATAAGAGCCTTTTCTGAGAATTATTTACTTTCCTTCCACAATTTCTAAGAGAGACACTGTTTCACTTCAGCAGCTCATACGTTATAAACCACAAATACAAAATCTCTGTGTTTGTCTTTAGATAAAGCTCAGGTGGAAAAGTACTCCCACACTCCACATGGCAGTGCTCCAAACTAGTGGGGTTTTGGCACATAACTGGTAATATGATGAAATCAAAGGGTGTTTTCTCTCTGGACTGTAAGCCTGGCCTTTTTTGACAGTTTGACTAATTCTAATCCAAGGTTTAGTCACCTATAAAGCTTATGTTATGTTAAAAGGAAGCCAGAAGCTCCCTTGCTGCCGGGACTTAACTTTATACAGTAGAATCCTGTCAGAAAAACTAGAAATAAATAAGATTGGTTATGTTTTAATGCATGAAAAACCTTCATTTGATTGAACTGACATTTTCAGATTTATTCTTTTTTCCTAATAACACTGCGCACTGTTTGCAAATGCTTAGATGAAATAATTCTGCACCGCACACGTATTTTGTGTGCATTTTCACCTTTGTGTGGATTTTTCAACAGACTCAAATGAGAACAAATTAACTCAGTTGCTGAAATATAAGAGACATCAAGCTCTAATTGCATGTCCACGAGGTCATTTTTCATGCTGTGCTGACCTTATTGCCATCTGACATTCATTCTGTCTTAGATAAATACCCAAACAAACATTCTGTATAAAGGTTAAGTAAAGAAATTCAGGAATAACTTGATTTTTCCATGTAGTAAATGTTAATTCCGCTATTATGTTAAATATGTCACTATCTCCTTTAGAGTTTATATTTAGCCGATACAGAGGGAGGGATTTGTTTATAAGTAAACAGGTTTAAATAACTTATGAGTCATAATTTATTAATAAAAGGAGCCCAGTCACAGACAAACACATGCATACACATAAACATCCTGACCTCTGAAAGCGGTGACAGCCACCTCAGTGACAAAGAAAAAGTCAATCTATATTTATCACTCACTCACAAACACCCAGTGTGTGTGTTAGAGTGAGAAAGCAGACATGTGCATATTTTATGGACGCATACAGTAAGCTCCTGCTGTAGCGTTCGTAGCTCTGGCAATTTAAACAATGTTAAACATTTCTATCTTTTCATCTCTCACTTTATTCGTGTGTTAGGACAGCTTACTTGGCAGAAACAGTCAAGGGCAACACTGTATGAAAAACTATTCATAATGAACCAAATATGGCAGTATCAAAAGAAAGCCATCAGCCCAAAACACAAACTGTGACTGATAGATGTCGACACCACAAAGGACTTACAGGTTTAGAACAGCAGGGAGGAACTGATAGCAGATGATACACACTTGATGTTGATTACATGTTTTCATTATCTGATGGCTTTAAATCAGGGACAGTCAGCCATGTGCTGTGGAGTGCCAGAGGTAAGCAGGTTTTCACTCCAGCTAAGCACAACATTGATTTGACTGATGAGTTACACTTCTCAAGCTTAAGGTGGGCTAATCAGTGAGACCTCCTGCAGAGCTGTTTGGATGCAATGGAGGTCTTTCTATCTCTGTGTGATAGCAGTGCAGAGTGTAGTAAAGCAACTGCTCCTAGTTTATGTTCATTTTAGCAATATTGTGAAGGATGAATTTGCACCTTGGGATGAACGGTGAATAACGTTAATTAGCTGGGGATACAAATAAAAAGAAAAACACATGCTGGGCCAATATCTGTGATGAGGAGGTATTGATTGCAGCGTAATCAGAGAATCTTCTTTTTAATGAAAAACTGTGATCTCCAAGCAGGTTTACCTTTAATGCCTCTGTATAGTTAAATAAAGCAAATAAATTAGAATTTAAATTAAAGCAAGCGTTTGACATTTTTAAAAATGTGTTTTTCTAGCAACTTAAATGGAAGGCTAAAACCAACAGCTGGATAGCTTAGTTTAGTGTGAGACCCACTAAATAGAGACACATCTAGCCCATCCTTATCCATTGTTAAGCTCAACCAGCAGTGTATTTAAAACTCACCACTGTACATTTACTATCATGTATTAGTCTGTTATGTCTTTGGACAAAATGTGCAAACAATGTATATGTGAATTTTTTATGATTTGAACAATAAAAAAAAAGATCTTGTTGTTTTTTTATTTGACGCTACTATTTGGCTGTTGTGTGACTGTCATCATATCGTCTACCCAAAGGAAAGAAAATTATATCTTGTTTCCTTCACAGAAATCTTAACAGTCATCTCAACAGTGTTGTGAAGCTTGCTATGATGCTCTTTGTTTAGAAACACAATCTCATTACTGCATTTCTTGGCAAAAACATGCTGCTACTAGTGTGTATGTTTTATGTGCATGAAAGCACATTAACATGTGCTGGTATCTGGTACTACTGGGAAAAAAACTGGAAAAAAGGAGCGCATCAAGCTGTAAATAGTCTTTTTATCTGTGTTTTCTCCCAGTGGAGGCTCTTCATCTGGGAACTCTGATGGCTGCACATGGTTACTTCTTCCCCATCTCTGACCACGTCCTCACTCTCAAAGACGATGGCACTTTCTATAGGTTTCAGGTAAGAATGTTAATGTTTAATTCCTCATTATATTGAATGATTTTATTTTTATTATACATCTGTCTGACTCTGTCAGCATTGCTTAATCAAGGGAATATTTAATCCTATTTTTTAAATATTTAACATTTTAAGTTTGCTAGACTCAAGGACTTTTAGAGTCAATAGATTATTCTGTTCTTTCTTTTCATCCACTTTTTGATTAGGGCCATCAAATACTGTGAACATAAGGTGTTGCAATTCATTAATTAATTAAAAATGAGGAAACTGGACAAAAGAAGTGGCAGGGTGGAAAATATTCACTGCAGATGAAAAGTATTTGAAAGTCATCATGTTCGTCTTTAAGAAATAGGGAAAAAAAATCCAACAAAGGCCGGACACAGAACCTGGGAGATGCATGTGGCTGTCAAGAAGCAATTTTAAGGAAAGGAGACAGAGAAAAAGATGGATGCATGCCAAATTACACAAGAACTAAAAATCACTGGCAACATGTCTCATAGAGCAATGAATCCATATTTGCATTTCAGAGAGTGGTGTTGGAGATCTTGTCGAAATTGATGGAATTATGAACGCAGAAAAGTACTTTCAGATTTTATCGGTCTGGAAAGAAGCTTTGACTTTGACTATGTTATTTAGCATGACAGTGATCCTAAATACACAGTCCCAATAGAGTAAAAGAATATCTGGATAAAAAACACACACAATGGAACACTATCAGTCATGGATTGGCCTCTTCATAGCCCGGACTGCAAGATTAGTGAAGCAGTGTGGAATCATCTTCACAGAGAACATAACAAAAGGAAGCCAAGATCCAAAGAGCTTTGAATATCCTTCAAGAAGTCTGGAAACCTATTCCTGAAGACTACTCAAATAAATTACAAGAGTGCTTGCCTATAAGAGTTTAAGCTGTTTTAAAGGATAAATGCCACACCAAATACTGAATTTAAGCTCATTAGCACTGTACAAAAATATTTTTTCTTGCTATACTGTATTTCCATGTATGTTTTCTCATTTTGCTAAACCACTGCACTCGTTTTCCTAGAAGAATATAAAAAATGAGGGGTGGCTAAGAGCCTTGCACAGTGCTATACGCAGATCGTTTTAATAAAAAGTCATGTTAAATGATAACATTTATGCAGGATGGCAGCAAAAGAACAAGAAAATGGACAAAATTGTTTCAAATGATATTTCAAATCATCTATTGGAGTTGAAATGAAATGTTCATTCCCATATGAAGTATGAAGTATACTTAGTTCAATTACATATGAAGTAAGTAAACCAGGAGGTCCTGAACACAATTCATACTAGTTCATGAATGGGGAGGGGAGGGCTCCATTCATGAACTAGTACTCCAAACATCAATACACAGACTGACAGTTTTAGTGATTTTCCACCAAGTGAGTTCCCCCAAGTGTGCTGCACAGCAACTAACAAGAGTAAATCAATGCCTATGGTTGTTTGTGTTAGTACCCTTTACTTTGCCTTTTGTATGTAATCACTTTTCATCTGGTGCCAGTCCATACAATGCTGCCCAAGGAGGGCGAGCTCTCATGCTGGTCTGCTCTAAGCACTCTCTGAAAGAAGCTTATGTGCTTTAGACATTATGCCAAACCCATTATACAACAAAATATTTTATTGTGACAGATGCAGGGCTGGGACCACATGCCCACCCAAAGTAACATAGCAGTACACTTTGATTTCGAAACACCATGTGGTTAGTTGTACATTATCAAAGATGCAAGGTCTTTTTTTAAAGTTTTGTTTCTTAATGACTCGTTTTTCCCTTCAGACTCCGTACTTTTGGCCATCAAACTGCTGGGAACCAGAAAACACAGACTATGGTGAGAGCCATTCTGTTGTAGTCATATTTGAACTTCCACTGTGTATGTGCGTGTTTGTGTGTGTATAGAGAAGACTAATGAGACAGGCTGTTTGTATATTACATAAACTGTAGCTGACATGTTATTAATGCTGATTTTTACAGAGGTTAAAAAGATGAAACGCAAGTGTTGCAACAGTGTCTCCATGTTAGATGTGATAAAAAGGATCAGATTTAGTTTTTACTCAAACGCTTGGCCAACAGTTAGAATCAGGTAATGCTTTCTATTTTACACATTTATTTTTTTCAGTGTTTTCCAACTAAAGTTAATTGTGTCTACCTCAGTCATACTCTGACTGAGGCAGTCTGATTACTGTGAAGGAAAACAGGAATGCCTTGATATGCATGCACCTGTTGTGCACAGTTGGCTGAGCATTTTAATGGTGATACAGGGATGAGCTTTTCATTGTTACAGCCAAGCAGAGTGGAGATAAAGCTTTCATAATGCCAAAAATGGGTTGCTGAATAGCTGCATCCTTGCAGGTCTTTCATTTGTTGTTTGAATTGTAGAAGGGGAAAGGGGCTAATGCTCACAGTGGGAATAATCCTGGGAGTGTTAGAGGAAGTCAGTGTCTCAGATGCAGCAACTGATTCACTTGAATGATGCCCCTTAATGAAAACACTCTAATGGCATAATGAAGCTTGCACATTATGGTCAGTTAACAAAGAGATGAAGGGATGATGATAGTACAGGAAGACATCAAAAGTCAGGCGTGCACACACCTTCAAACACACAAGCACCAGCAGTTGCAGGCACACACACACACACACACACACACACACACATCATAGTAAATGACCTTTGTGATTTGCAGTCCAGTCTAAATGTGCAGTTGAGAGGATTAACTGAATCAACGCAGGGCCACTTAAGGCTGTTAAAACGAAGCTGAGATCCTGTTCTCCCTTTATTACCATTCTCTTTGTCTCTCTCAGCTGTTTACCTCTGCAAAAGAACAATGCAAAATAAAGCACGTCTGGAGCTTGCAGACTATGAAGCGGTAAGTGAAGAAGGTCTTTTAGTGTCAGTACTCCTTTCTATCTGTGCTCTTCCTGTATTAGCACTGCTTTCTTACCTTTTGGTTCATACTGACAGTAGCAACATTTGTTTTTCCATGTGTCATTGTATAATTTGCAGCTCTCTTTCAACAAAGCTATTAAATGAATCACTGGTTTAGTCATTATCTGCGTCTTTTTCTTTCATATCAGAGCAGGAGTCATTAAAGATTGTATCCAGTTGTGCACTGTACACAGCATGCGCGATAAACATAATCAGCCTGGATTCCTACAAAGCTTAGTTTTCCTGCTTCTTCTTTGTTTTACTTACAGGAGAGCTTAGCAAGGCTACAGAGAGCTTTCGCCAGGAAATGGGAGTTCATTTTTATGCAAGCAGAAGCACAAGCAAAGTAGGTTTCTATAAGAACCACACACGCATTGAGCCATTATAAGTGAGTTCTCGTACAGCCTCGTTATGTCGTGATTAAACGTCCCTGTAATTACCAGTGCACAACTTCACAGATGGATTGCACATTAAACATGTGATGAAGTAAATGGCTCATAAATGTTTTAGATTAATCTACACACTCTGTCAGAACTGTTCCCTGAATTCTATCTTTTCCCTCCCAGAGTGGACAAGAAAAGAGACAAAATTGAGAGAAAAATTCTTGACAGTCAGGAAAGAGCATTCTGGGACGTGCACAGACCAGTGGTGAGTAAAATTATGATGGTATTGTCATAATCACCTCTGCTGTTACTAATAGCATTGTTTTGCTGACTTTACTAGCATCATCCTACTAGTTCTCGTAAAAGTGAATAATGCTGAAATAATTATTTCACACTGACCACAGTCTAAAAGAACAATTACCCAGAATGGTACATTTAGTTTTTGTGAGTTATGTATTGTCTTTTTTATAGATATCACATAACACTGTGATTAATAAATTGTTTCATAAATGTTATGCAATTATAAGCTTTAAGCACTTAATAGATGACAGAATTTATATATGAGCTTTACATGGTTCCTGTTACATTTAAAGAGTGTAAATAGCTGAACGCTCTGCAAATACCCCGGCGTGTATTTGCCTTGGCCATACACATGAAATGCCACATCAATAACTGTCACAACACATCAGCTTCACCGCTGCTCTTTACCTTGTTCCTGCACACTTGCTTAGCATTAGCATTTAGTTTCCCCTTGAGGTTTAAGGGTCTCCTCTGCTGTATTCCTGAAAGCCACTGCTCCACGGTTAATTGGGAAATAACAAGTTCAATTTATGCGTCCTCGGAGCAACATAATCAATATTAATTCAAATTTCACAGTGACACCATCAAGCTCTGTTCTTCTGGAAGAAACCTAGATTAGACTACTTGCTCAATCAGCCAGTATTTGCACTCTAACATTCTAATTTCCTGCTGGTTTCCATGTTTTCCTAGAATTGGCACATTCCATGTTTAATTAACCAGCATCTGACACATTGTCCTTGAGACTTCCAGCAAATCCAGCTCATTCTCACTTCCAACTTGTCACATACTGATGCTTGGTCAGGACCCGCAGGCATCACATTTTAACGCACATAGTATCCTTTAGCATCATTTTCAAAGTGCGGGGTACTTGGTGAGATTTTAAGATGCCCCTGTCTGAGTTAGATGACATGAGACTGCAGGCAAATGTCCTCTGTTGGTGTTGTCTCTATTGTGGACTATGTAACCTTGGCAAAGAAACGAAGCTTGCTGCAGATGTGAAAGATTTGTAATGGGAACTGGGGAGAATTTGTTGGCTAAGCGTATTTGAAAAACGACACAGTACTGAGCAAAAGTTTTAGGTAGGTGAGAAAAAATGCTGTAAACAAAGAATGCTTTCAAAAATGGAAGTGTTAATCATTTATTTTAATCATCATGAACAAAAGAGAAAGGTAAATCAAATCAATATTTGGTGTGGCCACCCTTTGCCTTCAAAACAGTTCTGTTTTTCGAAAGAAAACAGAAGAAGAAAGCAGGTTGTTCCAAAACTTTCGGAGAACTAACCACAGATTTTCTGTGGATGTAGGCTTCCTCACATCCTTCTGTCTCTTCATGTAATCCCAGACACACTTGATGAAGTTGAGATCAGGGCTCTGTGGGGGCCATACCATCACTTCCACCACTTCTTTTTCCTTTTGAAGATAGTTGGCTGTAGTTTGGGGTCGTTGTCCTGCTGCAGGACACATTTGGGGCCAATAAACAATCATTTATATTTCTGTCTCTGTTTCACACCTGCCTAAAACTTTTGCACAGTACCGACACCTTTACTAATTGTGGCATCGAGCTAGAGTACACTGTGATATAGAGTACATAACTGTGTTCTAAGGGTCTAAGCTCAAGGAAGAGTATAATCAGCTAAAAATGTAATCACAAGCTGGATTTCTCATGATTTCCTGATTTTCATTTTTTTCACAGCCTGGATGTGTCAATACAACAGAAGTTGACATAAAGAAGTCCTCAAGAATGAAAAATCCCCACAAAACTAGAAAGGTACTTAAGAGCTTTCTACTCTTACCTGATTATTATGTTACTTATTTGTATGTATATATTACAAGTATCAATGCAAACAGTTTCATATTGCCATGCTTTGTTTGTTTGTTTGCAGCATTAAGGCTACTTATATTGATGCTTACGTTTTTATTTTATTAGTCTGTGTATGGGCTGCAGAATGATATCCGTACCCACAGCCCAACCCACACCCCAGCTCCAGAGGCCAAGCAGCCTACAGAAGAAGAACTGCAGGAACAGGTTAGACCTACAGGTGGCAGTAGAGGATTTGTGATTTTGTCAATGATAGTGCTTCAATTGGACTTGGTATTTTACTACAGCCATATTATTTCTGTATCCAGTTAATTGCACTGAGCACCTTTTAAATATAAAGCATAACTTGAAATGTCATATCAGTATGACTGAAAATGAATGAATGAATTCATGGAGACTGCTGTCTACTCATTGTTCCCCGCTGTGGTTTCAGATCACCTTTTGGCAATTGCAATTAGACAGGCATCGACTGAAAATGTCCAAAGTGGCAGAGAGGTGAGCGATGTTCTTTGTGTCTTTATTCAGTTTAGCCATCGATCTGTTTATTGAGCCTTTAAACAGCCTAACACAGCTGGGAATTAAGAACTAAGATGACCTTGAGCAGTGTTTAAGCCCAGACAATGCCTTCAGCTGTCATCAGAGTACAGAGATCCAGATACCTGATCCTGTACAAAGTGTCTGTTTGTCATTCCTTTCTAAAAAGAGAGATGTGTTCAGGAAAGACTTCTAAATCCTTGTGTCCAAGTAGTGAGCCAATCCCTCTTGTCAAACTCTACATTTCATTTCATTTATAGTATTTGCTCCCAAGGGAATTTACCTTCTCTTTCTGTCAGGTAAAGCTAACAAATAAACCACCCATTCTTGTTTTAAAAAACAGTTTGTTGGGCTATACGGAGCAGTATCTTGAATACGACCCCTTCCTCACGCCACCAGACCCATCTAACCCTTGGATCTCAGATGACGCCACACTCTGGGAGCTTGAAGCCAGGTGGGTACAGAAAACCACAAATGCTAAACGTTATTCCCAAGTGTTTCTATAGCACATATTGATCTGTGAAATCGTGTTGTACTTTTTGTGTCCTCCTCCAGTAAGGAGCCAGGCCAGCAGAGGGTAAAGAGGTGGGCTTTTGGCATTGACGAGGTTCTCAAAGATCCTGTTGGGAGAGAGCAGTTCCTAAAGTTCCTGGAGTCTGAGTTCAGCTCAGAGAATCTCAGGTACATCATGAAAAAGTTCTTTCTATAGAGCAGCATGCCCATATACAGTACATACATTATACCAGTATTGCACTGTCTACCATATTACATTAGAAATGTCCTCATCTTAGCTGAAATATTAATATAAATATAAAATATATTAACATGTTTGACTGGATGTTAAAGCACTTTGTATCACAGCCGACCATGAGTAAAAAATATTAAACAGCTTCTTTACCACCGTTGCTCTGCATTCAGTGAAACATTTATAGCATCTGTCTATAACTATCCAAAATTTAGATATGGTTGTCATCCAAGGGCAGCTACTTTACTTAAAGATCAACAGTTGTGGAAGGAGTACTAAGAAGATACAAAAAGATAATAATGCATCAGCAGTTCAGTGTAGCTGGTTGAGATAGATTTTATTTTAACAATGATAAAAATATATCATTTGGAATTTAATCAAAGTTTGTTATAATTTATAAAATGAACCGGTGCTTGATATTGAGTCTAAATCTTCAAAGCAACCAGAAACTACTTCTGTGAAAAGAAATGATTTGACTCTGCAGTGTAGCCTAGTATAAAAATAATAATACCTCAAAAACACACTTTAGTAGGTATAACCTAATCGCTGATTGGAATTCAGAAAAAAAATGTGATTTAAGTGCCTTTGAACGTGGCGTGGTTGTTGGGACCAGACAGGCTGGTCTGAGTATTTCACAAACTGTTGATTTTCCTGCACAGCCATCTGTAGGGTTTATGAAGAGTGGCCTGAAAAAGAAAAAAAATCCAGTGAGCCAAAGGTTAAGATTTGTTTGTTGATGCCACAGGTCTGGGGAGAATGGCCACACTGCTTCCACAGAAAAAGAAAGGAACAGTAATTCAAATACTCACTTGTTATAACCAAATTACGCAGCAAATGGGCAGCAACATCAGAGGACCACACCGGCTGCCCTTCCTGTCAGCTAAGAACAGGAAACTGAGATTTCATATCAAACAGGCTGACCAAAATTGCACAGTAGAAGATTGGAAAAATATTCTCTGGTTTGATAAGAATAAGGTGTAAACAATATGAAAGTGTGAATTCATCCTGCCTTGTAGGATGAATTCACTGCACGCTGTGTTGCGGGAGTATTTTCTTGGCACACTTTGGCCCCCTTAGTATCAATTGATCATTGTTTAAAACTACAGCTGACCTGATCGTCATGGCCATCCCTTTATGACCACAGCACACCCATCTTCTGATGGCTGCTGCCAGCAGGATAACGCACCATGTGACAAAACTAAAATGACCTCAAAGTGGTTTCTTGAATTCAGTCAGCCTCCTGAGTCACCAGGTCACAATTCAACAGAGCACCTTTGGGATGTGACTGAATGGGAGATTCACGTCATGAATGTGCAGCCGACAAATCTGTAGGAATGTTTTGATGCTATCATGTCAATATAGACCAAAATCTCTGAGATATGTTGTCAGCACTGTGTTGAATCTGTGCCACAAACTGTTAAGCCAGCTGTAAAGGTAAAACATGTAGGTTGGGCCTAGTCTGAACTCATGATCCCACTCCATACAATGGGAATATATGAATAAATTTGCTGCCATGAGTGACGGTTGAGAATGCTCTCCTTCTCTAGCTGCACATACATTAAAAGCAATATGAAACACAGGAATCACAAAGTACATGTCAATATGATTATCCTGAGATGAATCTTTCTTTGATGGTAGACATGATCAATAACGACTTGAGTGGCTTTTTACTAGGTGTACAAATGACTCATAATAATAGGTGCATTTTCATATCAGCAGCAACATGTTGTTACTGTGATTGCTATTACTGGAGTCAATACTTCTTCCCCTGTGTAAGGCATTTTGGAGAGTAATTATAAAATGTGTATAGTAATGGTAATGTTTTCAAAGCAGGGATAGCTGGTGGGTGCATCACTTAAAATATGCACACTGTCACAGTGGGCAGAATATCAGAGCCACGTACAAGCAGCTAAATGTAGTGTAATCGTGTGCAGAGTGGCTCCTTTGCTCCCTACATGCTTGATTTGTTGCTGCCCAAAGTTAATAATTAGGTCAGTTTAATTAAACTCTCAGTTTTTACTCTCCTGGAAATTAACACGTCCACCACTAGCAAGCACGCAAGCGCTGTCATTCATAAATATTTTAACCTCTATCCACCTGGGGTTTTTAAATTAAAATGGTTTCCTGCTGATATAATTTCCACTTTTACAATCTGTCTCTGTTGAAGTCTCCCCGGAAAGTTCAGAAATCCATTATAGTCCAGTCACATTCCTTAACACGTGTTACATTTTCTTTCTTTTGTGTGATGACAGAATGATGGAGCAAATTCATTAATATAAAAGGTAAAAACTGGAAAAGGGGTGCCCTCAAAGGAATTACCAACTTATTATTGAAGATTTTTTGAAAATTTTTTTGAACTAATGCCTAGATACCAAAAGCTGCAGATGTCATGGTTTTAATCATCTGACAACCTAGTGCACATTACGCCAAATTAGGGTCTCGAGTTAAAATACCATTTGACTCCACATGAGCATTTGGTCAGCTGAATTGCATACTCATCTGCTTCTATTGCAAACAATGACTTTCTGAGACGGTCCAATGACACATTTTTAAATTACCCCAAGGATTATTTTTTGCCTTGTATTCCTTAATTTATAACTCAGTAATACTTTAAAAAAAAGCAAACAAATAAGTAAAAAATTGTCACTGCATATCTGACGAAATACACACTGATACAAACCGATCTATCACAAGCTAATATCTGCCAATAGTCCAATAAAACAAAATTAGTTGACCAGGCTCAGTTGTCCGCGGTCACAACGGACAGCATGCAAAATTAGTCCATTGTGGAATTGATGTGGACTGCAAGTAATTATCCCTTCATTGGTTTGAAGTAGTTGTGACTTTGGTTTGCAGGTTCTGGCTAGCAGTCCAGGAACTAAAGAAGCGTCCAATTAGAGAAGTTCCAACCAGAGTCCAGGAGATCTGGCAAGAGTTTTTGGCCCCAGGGGCCCCCAGTGCCATCAATGTGGATTCAAAGAGCTACGACAAAACCACCCAGAATGTCAAAGATCCTGGACGCTACGCCTTCGAGGATGCACAGGTGAATGGTTGCCCAAAAGGAAATGATGAAGAGATATTAAATAATAGCCACAGCTGTTTAGTTTGTGTTGCACAATGTAGAGAGGAATAGGAACATTCAGCCTGTCACTGGGACTTGGACAGTGATCAAACTAGTGCTGAGTGTAGCTGACAGACCAATGAGATATTTACTCTTAGCAGTTTACAAACCACAGTCTTGGGGATCAGTGAAAGACTTTTTTTTGATTTGGTTTTAGTACAAGTGTTGTTTGTGTCTGACTTCATACTCGTGCTTTTGTTCATCATTCTCACATTATGTGTTTCTTCACCAGGAACACATCTACAAGTTGATGAAGAGTGATTCTTACAGCCGTTTCATCCGTTCCAGTGCCTACCAGGAATTACTACAGGCCAAGAAGAAGGTAACAAAATCAAATAAACCATAAAGCTTGGCTAAAAACATTTGATAAATTAGTTAGTGAGAAAATAAGACGAGAGAAGTACATGTAGATGACATTACGTGACACCCTATTTGGATTTGAACTGACTCTGCTGACTTGCTGATGCTGAAATAAGCCCTTCTAGCAACCAAAGTCACACCTTTTCAAAGTCTGTTAAATTACATTTTATCCCATTCCCAGTAATCCCCTTGCATAAAAACAAGTCTGCAACTTGCTTTTACACTTACCTGTAGTATCATACAGTGTATTCTGCTACCGGAGTAATGTTGATATTTATTTGTTCACTAAGGGACAAAAATCAAGAAATTGACAATTATATTGTTATTGACTTATCACAGTAAAGTTAACTCAGCAGCAGACAGATTTGGAACAATACAGGAATCGCAGTGGATTTGGATTTCCCATGCCTTATTGCTTTAGCAGCCTGGTTTAGCAGACTCCAAGTAGCTTCTTGAAATTACATATTTCTTTTTAGACAAAATATGCTGTTAAATTCAGTTGTTAAGTCTATGTCTCCCAAACCAAAGTGGAAACCAGTTCAAACCAAAAAAAGTTGCAAATAAAATCGGACCGCTGCAAACAATAACAGGCAAAGCGGATTTGTACAATATATTAATGGAGTCTCTTTCAGGTGTATTTGATGGAGGAGCTGATCAGGACTCTTGTCAGGCTTGTAGAAACTCTTATGAATACAGAAAAATGGGATGTCATACCATGCAGAATATTTCAGCATTACACAAGCGCATCCACGTGGTTAAAAACCTACCCTGTCTCACACCTCCTACTCTTTATCAGCCCATCTATCTGGCAAATAAAATTTCAGTATTGTATTAATGTTTTTTTTTTTTTAAAGAAAAAAACTGTTAAACCTACATCAATTTTGGGGCGTATGTTGTATTAGTTCTTCTTTTTGATTGAATATGATGTGAAAGTAGTATGCTTTACATGATGGCAGAATATTCTTTTTTATGCCAGCTAAAATTAAACGAAGCCTGCATATTTTGTTGATCTAGCTCATGGATTCTTACATATGTGTAATTTGTTTAGTGACCTATGAATCCACAAACTAAAGTCACCTCAAATATGTGTTGTTTTTTTTTTGTCTCAACAGAAAAGTAAGAACTTATTCTGAAGGGTCTTACTCCCAGGTAATGTCCAATGATACCATATCATCTTCATGTACTACATTTGGTTGTTGTTATTTAATTCTTGTCAGCATGTTGTGATTGCTACTCTACTTAAATGTTGTGCTAAATTCTACCATTGAATGTAATACAAAATGTGCAATTCCTGCACTAAGTGTGTTGTTAAAATACTGTGTATTTCTTCTTCCCTTCTTCCACCTTATTCCCTATTTTCATTCTTTTCTGTCTTCTTATCTCTTCTCCCAGTGCAGGGGAAACCACTGGCATCCAAGAGGTTGACCAGTTGTGTGCCATCATGCTAAAATCAATGCCAACTCTCTCTCTCTCTCTCTCTGGGACACGGAGAGGGGAACCATTTCATCTCTTCATCATCATTGTCTGTCATCTGCTCTTGGCCCAGCCGGATGATGAGCCAAGCCTTCTGTTCATCTGTTGTCCACAGGATGTTGCATGTCCATGGAGGGGATGTTCCTTCTTCTCTCTCCACTTTCAATACCTGATATATTTCCAGTATTCTCAGAAAGGAGGCACTGCTGGACTTGAGGGGACACTGACAGACAGTCAAGATGAAAAAATAAAAAAATGACACTGAAGAAAGTTATACCCAGTGTTCCAGTTCTTTCCATCATAAATGCTGGACCGGACCTCCCTCCTGTCTCTCACTTCCAGCTGAAACAAATGATGTCAGAGAGAAAAAAAAAAAAAAAAAAAAGAAAAAAATGTAGAAAAATATAAAATGACAGCTTAAACTGATAAATCTAACCAATGTCATTGCTTTACATGATCTGAGATCACAGATACTTTGTCACGCTATGGGAAGTGTTGTGCAGAATGAATATACAATATATATATACATATATATATTATGATTAATATTATTATTTATGGTGCATTTATTTTTGCTTTGCATTATTTTATTGCACTACAAATAACTAGCACATATGATTTTCATTGCTCCTGTAAAGTCACATTCAGATTTACATAAAAAAATGCTGTCTCCTGTCTTGCGTAGAACATAATTCTTTGTTATTCTCTCCTGCATTTATTTTTATACCATATTTAAAGACACTTTTACTTACTTGTATTATTAAAGTTGGCCCTCTATCTGTTAATATGGCCTGGGTCTGATTTTTTCTTTTCCTGTATACACACAATTTTAGAATTAAATATTCATTCATTCAAATATTCATCAGTTTTAATATAATCCAACGGGTTATGTACGCTTAAACCATGCACTTTTGTCTTCTGCCACTAGATGGGGGTAAACTATTTCCCATCGGTTAAAAAAAACAACAGTTTTCAACACAGATCAGCAAAATGAGCTACGGTACTCTGCAGACAAATGGAGTTTTGTCATGCAAAAGTGTCATCATCCTCCGGTTTGCTGAAAGGGTTATTGTTCAAACTCTGCCCATCTGAGGTTTTGCACGGTCTGTTGATGTTTCAGCTCTTTGATGGCAGAAGTGACAGTCAGAGTTTTCAGTCTTTGTGCCCAGTGGTCAGCATAGCCAGAGCCGCAAAAGAGACAAACATCATTGTCTCGGTTGCATCAAGGAATGTGAACCGTGGCATTTTTTTTCAAAGCATGCTGTTAGTGCATGCACAGATGATTTATGGATTGGAGGTTACGGGTTTCGTTTTGATGTGGTGATTTGCCAATAAGAAAGGATAATTTAGGGGGTTTTAGGCAACCATTGTTTCTCTTATCCACTTTCCAAATCTCATCCACTTCCTTAAAAGTAAAGTGTCATTAACTGTCAAATTCAAGGTGAGGAAATGAAAACTTACATGGAAAAATAAGATAAGGCAAAATCTGTCATCTTAGATTTGCCTATTATGGATGAGTAGGGATTCATATATAAATATAAATATATATATATATATTCAGAATATTAAAGGGCAGACAGAAATAGACAGCCTGTCTCTCCTAGATTTAAGTGAAAGAAATGAAGCTTGATTTGATTCACACAATAGCAAGGACCAATAGGAAAAACCCTCCCATTCTTGAGGAGGGAAAGGGGTGGTGGGGATTCAAACTAAGGCAGGCTTTACAGTGACTCAAACACGCTCAAAGACAGACTGCAGACAGTCTCCACGACACTAAGATATGGGCTTACTGTGACTGCAGTCTGGAGCTTATTTTCTTAATCTAAAAGCCAAAAAGAGAACATTAGACTCAGAGAGAAAGACGTTGCCCAAGAGGATGGGAAACTGAGCACGTCCCAAACTTTAAGAAGGGAAGAAGAGGAGCAAGGACAAGCCTGAGGATACCGCAGATTATGTTGCCATGGAAACCGAAACTTGGAAGCGGACGCAAGGACCACTGAAGGTGGACGATCTCCCTTGAATGCATCGTCGACACATCACTGTCCCGCTGCACACATAAAAAGGTATACGAACCATACATTACATTTCGATAGCACTGACTTTATACCATATTGAATGCCTCAAGACTCAAAAAAGCGCTTCAGCAGATGATTTTACATATAATCTTTCATAACGCATGGCTTGCACTAATTTGAAATTATTAACATTAAGTTCAAGAAAGTTTTCGATATTAGATAATACACACGGGCTGCTATGGTATCCCATTGTAATGTCCGTTTTACACGGAAATATAATGATACGTTATTTAAAGGCGCACAGCTTTGCAGCACATAAGAGGAAATGTGACCGTGTACGTGAACGCGCCATGTAGTCTAGCGTTTGGATTTCCCAGAGAGAAGGGAAACTGTCTGAGTGCTGGTTCATCATATCCCACGTGAGTTTCTGACTGACTGACTCAGTGCGTCTCTGAGTGACTAAGTGCAGAACCATGTAATTGGAACGGCGGTAGTTGTACAGCTATTTAGTATAATGTCCCAGCACTGATGGTTTGATTCCCACTGGGGCCACCCATTGTAAAAATATACACCTTCAAGGCGTTGAAAGGTGTTCTGGATAAAAGTGTCTGCTAAATTACTATAATTAGTGGCTGGAGGTTCCAAGTAATTAGTGTTGTGAGTGAGAGAATTAGTGAGTGATGACAGCCTGTTGTACTTTTCTTCTTAGTGAGCTTAAGAGGCAGTTTAGCCTTTCCAGTGAATATGAGACTGAGACATAATGATCTTAATGAACACTATGTGTAGTAAGACCATTTATGTTACTGCAATAGCCTGTGGGTGCTGAATAATCTCTACTCTTTTCTTTTCCTCCCTGTTCAGTTGCACAAGTTTATATTCCCTTACGTGTTCTCTTTGTGTTGTGTGCGCTGATGCCTCTCCAAGTTGGTTTGAGAACATATGTGTGCATGTGTGTGCGTGTCCCTACAGTATGCGTGCGGGGAATGGTGGTGAGTTTGCCTTCTGATCCTGCTTACGGCTCTGGTGACTGCACCACCTTGTACAATCTGCTCTGATGTCAAAGAGGATTTAGCACACAGACACATTGTAATTTCTTAAGCAACAGAAACCACGTCATTGTGAGTCTCTGGAGATAGTAGCACTGGCATTTGATAGCAAACTTTAGTAACACGGTTAACGTGTCAAGTTTGCACTTATTATATGTAAACGGGAACTTCCCGCTGATGCTGAGGAACGTGAATTAAAACTGTGGAGTAAAACTGCAGTTTGGCCTGTTGTGGCACATTTTTCCGTTGAAAGCAAACTTTGATATGCCAACAAATCATGAGAGTCTTCAAGAGTAACCATCCTATTACACAGTGGCCTTCTGGTGTAGCAGGCCACAGTAACTCACCAAACATTGCTCAAAGTCAGAGAACTTACATCCTAGTGAAGATCCTAAAGTGGTGCTCGTTGGATAAAGAATACTTTTATTTCATATATCATAAAAATATAATAAAGTTTTCCAGCTTGAAATACCTTAAACAAGCTGACACAGATTATAAATGTAAGAATGTGAAACAAAGCTATTAAAGAGGAAACAAAAGGAGAAAAACATTTTGTTTAAGTGTAAATGGAAGGTGGTGTTAATCGCTGTAGCTTGTCTGCAGTGACAACTAGTGTACTATCACAGGATTTCTAATTGGCCTTCATCCCCACTAAAGCACTTTATGTTGCTGAGGCGAAGAAGTTGTCTTACATTCTTGCCAGTACTTAGCTTGGAAAGCATTATATCTGGGCTGCTAGTCATTATCAAGACGGATTGTGGTGACAAATGGCTACCCGAACTGCCTAAAGCGGCTTCCTGGCGATGTTGGCGTTAGACACATTTACACAGCAAAGCCCCTAAAAAGAGCCCCCCAACCCCCAGCTGTTAATGAACCAACAGTGAAGCGTAGTTTGGGAAAATGCAATCCGCAAATGCAGATAATGACATGGTTCCTCTTTGTGTAATTGGCTCCGAGTGAAAACATTTAATTTACCTCTCTTTCCCTTTTTCTCTCTCTCTCTTTGCATCCTGTGTATGTGCGTTTGACTCTGTATGTGTGTCTGTGTGTGTGTGATTACACACACATGTGTGGCCACACATGGGTGCATATGCGTGCGCGTGTGCGTGTGTGGCTACCCGTGTGTGTTTGAGGTTTGAGCTGCACGGTGAATTAAATGCAGTTCTACTGTAATTAACTGCACTTACCAGTCTATGTATGAGACTTTCTGACGCACCAATAATTGAGGCATCAGGTTTTGTTTGTTTTAACCTGCCTTTGAAGACGTGCTGGGAAGATGTTTCGCATGGTTTAGTGGAAGTACATCTGTGTGTACAAATTTGAAAGCCTTGGAAAGGATTCTCCTTTCTTTATTCAATTATTTAACAACTGGATATTTGAAATCTTCAGATATTTAGCTGCCAGGCTGGCGATTTTCATGAATAATTTTGTTTTTCATTTGACTTCAAGATTTGAAAAAAAAGGCCCATTGTTATCCAGACAGAAAACATTACCATGGTATTATCATGCCATTCTGAAAAACAAAACATAACAAGTTCCCACTGATGATAATAGCTGTTTTCCAAAAAGCTTGTGTCTAGCTCAGCAGTCTCTCTGGTATTTGTGTCTGGCATTTGTAATTTCATTAGAGGTTTGAATTTTGGAACCAAGGTCTGCCACAGTTCAGTGAAGCATATTCAAAGTATTTGTGGTTCTGGTAAAACATAAAGCTGTGTTTGTGGACAATATTAGTGTTGTCCACAAATATTAGTGGATTAGCAGACACTAAATATTAGTGTTTAGCAGACACAAAGGTTGTGCTCAGTTCTGTCCCAGCAGAACTGAGCACAATGTCCCAGCATTAACACTCAAAACCACAGTCGCCTCCTGCCTCTAGGACTGTGTGATGATCGGTGCTGTGTGTCCAAGAATAAAAATCACAAGAGTGACAAAAAAAGAAAGAAAAAGCTCACAAGGAGGGATGAAGTTATATTTTTCATGAACCCCAAGTAGTGTTGGTTTTGTTTCCCAGTGTGTCATGAGTCCAGAAACCCCAACGAGTCTGCAACCCCCTCTTTCCCCCCCCATCTTCTATCCCCAACCACTAACCATCTACCTCAGACTCCCCCAAAAGCCCCTGAATCGTTACCCCAAAACCACAATTTGTCTTGCAGAGAGATTGATGGGTATAGCTCAGCAGGGCCACTACTCTAACACCAGCTGAGTTTGGGGGTGGAGAGGAAGCGCAGTTGCTGACTGTATAGGTCATTTGTCATGCCCTGTGTACACAGTCAGTCAGGTCATCCCTCCCCAGCCCCAAGAGCTATCCAGACTGTAGATCACCGGAGTCACATGGCGCTACATAAGAGACTGATAGAGGGAAAATGGGAAAACAAGAGCCTGGACACAAAAGCAGAGCATGTGACCCTGATCAGGGGTTTGTGCACTTCAACTCCCAGTCAGCAGGAATAAGATGGAGCAGGTAAAGACAAATGAGACTGTCCTTAAGTGGAAGGTAGTTCACTAAAAGATGAAGTGGGGTCAATATTCTCTGATAGAGCAGGTGGGGGAAAGACAGTGGGATTGTTTACTTTAGTTATTCTAACCTTATGGTGGGTGAGCGTAGGGGAGTATATATATGGTCTGTATGTGTGCAAAAATGTACATCTCTAGAAGAACCACAGACATTATTTGGATGTCCAGTTCCCGATTTGGATATGATTTAGGTGCCAAAATCATAATTTCCTGTGTAAGAACTGGCTTAAATGTGTGTCATCTGGACACACATTGTTACTTCAGCCATATAATTGATCTAGTTCCTTAGCAGACTGTACACAGATGTCTTAAGAAAAAAGCAAAGCAAAACCAAACTATAACAAAAAAAAACCTTTAAAAAATTCATCAGATTAGATTTGAACAAGAAAAAAATTAACAGTACACTCCATTTTCTGTGCTTAAGTAACTGCAACGTATGGCTTTATTTATTTTTTAATAAAAAAAAAAATTCATACTTTATATCTGGTAGATGGACTAACAGCTGCTGTCTAGCTTATGGCAAGTGCTGCTGGGACAGTGATATACAGACTCGAGTGCTCATGCTGCTCAGACAGAGCTGCCATGACCTCAGGGTCAAGGGCAGAAAAAAACGAGGCAAAAAACAAAGTGGATTATGATAAAGTAATTTGTTCCATGTCAGAGTGAGTTGCAGGTTCAGGAAAGGAACAAAGAGAACATACGAGCAGAGCAAAGAAGAGTCTGCGAATAGTAGCAGCCAATGGCCTTGAGGCCGTTTGGTTCTCTGTCAGAATTTCTAAGTTGGTGTCATGCAATGCTTGTCAAGAGCAACATCTGCTGAAAAGATGCTTGAGTGATGGTCAAAAATGTGCTGGCGCAAATACTGACAGCTTGCACACGGGCGCGTACTCCGTTTTGACTCAAAGAGGAATCATTTCTCCAGATCATACCATCTCTATGGTGCTGGCATTGTACAAAAGGCACTGGTGATTATGGACAATATAGGCCCATAATCACTCTCACTTTAGTTTTCTTCACGTATATCACCAAAGAGTAGATGAGTGAACTGTACGGCTCTCCGACTCTTTCCCTAATAACATGCAGATGGGCCTCTCTAATGCCTGTTTACATATCTGCGGCATAGTTCATGACTAAAGTAAGCAAAGCCCTAATTATTTTACCCAGCGACGGGACCAATAAAATCAACTTCCCCTTCTCGTTATGGGTGTTTAAGTGTATCCTTTGATGGCAGGGCTTTATTTATTTTTGGAAGAGTTGCGTAGCCGAGAGGAAAGCAAATAGAAGTAATGACACAGAGATGCTGACAAATGGGGGCCCTGGTGATGGATTCATTTCCTCAATGATGCCTGGAAGGCTAAACTGCAAAGGTGGCTCAACAGGAATGAGCATTCTCACAGTTGCAAGCATAATTGGCAACATTAGTATCATGTAAGCATTTGTGTGACTGTCATGTTTCATCTCATACTACCTAAATGTGTTACACCAGCTTTAGTGTAAATGTCCAGATTCTGTTTGTGCAGATGTCTTTCTCCGTCTATTCGCTACATTGTATAGTAATGTATCTCTCTTTGCAGAATGCTGTGGAGAATAACTATCCCTGTCATACTGGCTGGGGTGCTCTGCATCACTGCAGAGACCAAAAAGTCCCGTCCTCAGGGAGCCATCCCATCTCCATACAAGTCCAAAGGGAACCTGTCTGCGGACCGTCACCATCGATTGCTTCAGCAGAAACCAGAGGTGCTATCCTCTAGCCGGGAAGCCTTGGTTGTGACAGAGCGCCGTTACCTCCGCAGAGACTGGTGCAAGACCCAACCTCTTCGTCAGACAATCAGTGAGGAGGGCTGCCGCAGCCGCACTGTGGTCAACCGTTTTTGCTATGGCCAGTGTAACTCATTCTACATACCACGGCATATGGGTCCAAGCTCGAGTCAGGGACAGAGTCGAGGCCAAACCTCAGGCTCGGGAAGAAAAAACCACAACAAAGCCCAGGAGCCATTTCAGTCCTGCTCCTTCTGTAGGCCACATCGCATCACACAGCTCACAGTGCAGCTAGACTGCCCAGACCTGCAGCCCCCTTTCAGACACCGCAAGGTGCAGAGAGTCAAACAGTGTCGCTGCATGTCTGTGGATGTGAGCGGCCATGGGAAACTGTGAAGGGGGACTTAAAGGTCTTTCGAATTTGGAATGACATCATTTATGTGCTGTCAGAGGCAGAAATTCACAAACTTAGCCAAACAAGGACTGGCTTCCAGAGGAACTGTTCTGCATCGTGTTGTACAAAGAATGGCTTGTCTTGCAACAAAATGAAACATGGAACTAGAAATACACAAAAGCTCAACAATGATTTAATTTGAGAGTAGCAGCCATGTTCATATGCCAGTGCGATTAAAAAGGAAAAAAAAAGGTGGAAAAAAAAAGAATAAATCAACTGGCTGTGTAGAGACAGTGCTAATAAAGCTGTTGGTGTTTAACAATGGACATTTTTTTAGTTGTAGCATTTCAAAAATATCACATCTACCTAAAGGAGTCAAGAAAGTACCTCTTAAAAATGACAGAACATTATGGACACTGAGGATGGCCAAGCAAAAGGAAGTGCATTAAAGTAATGTCCAACTGTATAATTAGTGCAACCAATTAAAACAGTCTTTGTAAAATGTGTATCTATAGGTGGTTCTACAATCTTAGACAGCTTGTCAGTATCTTTTTTTGTCGTGTTTCACAAGTATTCTGTTACCCTTTTTGTTTTGTATTAACATGATGATGTCAAAGAAAAGATGAAACAATTCACACCATTCACCTGCTTGGATACAAACCTGATTGTATACTGTACATTTTCCACAAATATACTAGCCAGGAGACAAAAAATAAAGAAAAAAAACCTGCAGCATGTGTAATGGAGTTGCAATGCAATGTATACAATATATACACGTGTGTTTTAAGTATGTAAAAATATATTAAATCTATTTCATATAAAACAAAGTGATGTGTAGTGTGCATATAATTTGTCATATGATAAACAGAAATTGATCACCAATAACAGAATTTTTATCACAAAAATCAGGGTAATGTCTTTTATTCAATAAATATATATTTATATTATTTTTAATGGTCAGATGTATTCAGTCAAAACACAGTGCTGGTATTGTACATTAAAACCACATCACATGATTCTACTGCTGATTTAGCCTATGGATATTCACACTCTTTCACATAACACAAAAGGTAAAACTATCTGCATAGGATTTTGCTTGAAAGAAAGCATATTTACACTAATGTTGAAAAGAACAATAGTGGGGATTTATCAGATCACATGACTTAGAAAGACATGACCATTTAAATAAAAAACACTAAAAGATGAGGTGCTGTATGTAAAACACGTAGAATTCGCAGTTGAAACGCACCAGATGAAAATCTTGAAAGGAGTAAATTTGTTATTTTTCAGGCCATGTAAACAGACTTTTCTTCCTTGTAGGTATCATTGAATCACAATTGATGCATCTCAAAAATAAGCTTTGTTCAACTCATTTAAAGTCTCCACTATGCAATAAGGCACCATATAGAAATATTATAAAATCCTGTGCTTTTCACCATCAAGGGAGATGTGAACACAACGTGTTAATGGTTTTTCTAGAAACTGAGGGTTGGAAACGGCAATAAAAAATGGCTACATATTATGTATACTGATAAAGCTTGAACATAGTGTCACCAAAAAAACAAAACTGAAAAAGAACACCAAGTATTTATAGCAAATTTTCATGCAACTTGAGTTCAGTAATCAGCTTAGGGATGCCTTTTTATAACACAGACTCGTTTCATTTTGTGAAATGGTGGGTAAGGACATTAGCTTTAATCCCAAGTTTAAACGATACACTTTGAACCAGCTCACACTCGACAGCCCTAAACCAATTGAAAACAAATACTGGGAGCAAATAAACGCTAAAAATGACTGATGACTCGTGTCAGATTGTACAAACACAGCTTGTGCAATAGGCTAGGTGATGATAATTTTCCATTGTCTGCTTCAGATCTTCTTACCCAACTTTGCTTTCTGTGGAAAAAAAAAAAGACAAGAAAAAAGTGTGAGTTATTTACAGCTGGAAGCACTGGCGCTCCGCTCTAAAATGTTACTATAAGAGCCAGGATTGTTGTTTCTTAAAACACTGACAAGCATTTGCGAGCAATTGGGTCTGTTAGGTGAAAGAAAAAGGCAGGTACTGCTAGAATTACAGTAAATAAATAGAAAACAGATGACTCCATACAGTAATAAGAAAAAGTAAAATGTTATGCATACTATTCCAGTTGCATGTTTGGGTGTCACATTGTAGGAAGCCTTCTGCCTGGCCTGTTTAAAAGACTCCTCTGCCATTTTGACCCTAAAAAAAAAAAAAAGGAGAAATAAATGCCAATCATGTGATAAAGATGTTAAGAGCAATTAATTAGCTGCATAGAGCTACACAGAGTCACTAAAATTCCCCATTACACCATCAAAAAAGAAAAATGTAGTATAGTGCTAAAGATTTCAGGTTTATACCATCCAACTTGTGGTCATGGGGCATTTAAACACAAGGATTTTGGTTTGACAGGAGGCCAGACCTTCTACTCTGAAATGATTCACTCTAGTTTACTATAGCAAGGAGAGGGCCAGAAATGTCACTACTCATTTGCTCTTTAAAAAGAAAAATGATTAACATGCTGGCATTGAGTGAGTAGAGCAGTTTATACTAGCAGACTCGCCTGTTGTCTCTACCCATTACATGTTCAATGCATGGTAGTGCTGCATCTTTGCATGCCCATACAGGCAGAAGTGAGGATTACCATCTACTGTTCCACATATGGCAAAGGACAAAGAGTTAATGCTTTCAAATTAGTTTTTATTCTTTCCTACTGAACAAGCAAAGACTATGACATTGGACCTCGCTTACAAATACTATCACAAGTCAATCTTCATTGGAAATAATGGACCAATTTGCTTTTTGTTGACATATGCAGCTATATCTTCATATTTATCAAACCACTGGAAGCTAACTGGATGATGCATGTGTTTTTTTTTCGTTGCTGGGGTAAGGACAAAGATTTGGGTCATTTGCCCTCTTTCCCTTCATGAATTTGAATGAATCTGATAGGATCTTCAGTGAACATGAGATGCACTGCATGTTATTAATGGTTTGGAAACTCAAGCTTGGGGAAAATTCAAAATGAAGGAGCACTAGGCACATCTGTTATCACATTTTAAGGCTCCCGATCAGAGAAAATAAGAAAAAAAAAAATGGACTGATATCTCAGCAATACTCCATTTTTAGTCAAAAGTTTTAAGCGTCCTATCAGAGGGATTTATCCGTATCATGGAAAATGTCACATTGTGGAACAGGAATCTCCATATGGCTCACCGCTCTTGTAAGATCAGCTTATTCTGCTTCTTCCACTGGTCTTTAAAATCTGTGGAAAACTCATGCCAAATGGAGAAGAATGTGTGGGGAGAGACTTCTTTCTCTCCTGCCTTTGGTTTGACTGAGAAGGATACACTCAACTCCAAGAAACTGAGGACAGAGAAGAAAAACATTACTTCAAGACCAAAACATTACAACACGAGATTACAGAAAACTATACCAATTATTGTGAAACTTGGCAGTCCTACGCAGATATGCAAAATATGATAGCTAATCTTGGAATAATGTGCTTTTTGGAGATTTAATAGTAGAGTAACTAAAAAAAAAAAAAAGAATAAAAACAATAATGACCGTGCATTTCAACGAAAAAAAAAAATGCTATTAGTGCTGCAAAAGCAAGAAAATCTGACTTAACCAAAATTATGAATTTTGCTGTATCGCTCCTTTTCCTTATCCATATGAACCTCTTTTGTATGTTTGTGTATACATACATGCACACACTCTATTGGTGTGTAAGCATGAGTGATGAAAGACAAAGGAGCCAAAGACAGATCTTGCAAAAAGAAAGTGTGCATAGAGCAGCGGATGACATACACCAAGGTGTTAAATGTGGCAGCAATTTTGAGTGGATTAATATCGTGGACAGGTTGGGGTCTCTTTGTTTGGAGTGTGCTATAGGAACACATTCCAAGCCAGCAGTAACAGAAGCCTGGAGCCATGGCTGTCTACTCTCGCTCCACTTAGATAAACAACATAGACACTGCATAGGGGGCCTCCCGTCTACTGAAGGCCTGGCATGACGGCCTGCACCTTCCATGTAATTGAAGGAACCAGGAGTCATAAATATTGACAAAGCTGCAAGATTATATTTCTTCACTGCAGCGAGAGTATATCACTTCAAACTGTGTTGGATTGCATTATACCTTACTTTCAAATTCACAACTACAATCACTGCTTTGAAACTTAAAAGACGACCAAATGTAAATCCAAGAAATAAAATGCAAAGTAACATTTATTTTTTGAGCAAAGATATGTAGGAAAAGGTTTTTAAACACACACACACACACACACACACACACACACACACACACACACACACACACACACACACACACACACACAC